TCCCCTGGGGCAAGATCTTGTCACAGGCACCTTGGGCATAGTGCGCCCAAACCACCATTTGCTACTTACTGCTTTCAGTGAAAATTACATGAATTCCAGATAAAGTTATTGGCAGTTAAAAGACGGTATAGCATGAAAGAGAAACATCAGTAGAACACAACACACTCAGAAAACACATTTGTACATTCAATTATGTCCCCTGCTCAAAAACAAAAACAAAAAAACACACATGTCAAAGTCCTAAACCCCAGTACTGGTCTTTAGAGATGCCACGCCGCTCAGAGGAAGTCAGACGGGATCAGGGTGGGTCCCTGTGCGGTGACTGGGACACACAGCGGGGAGAGTCACGGGAAGAGGGCGGAAGGCGGAGACCAGGGCGACGCTGCTAGGAGCCGAGGAAAGCCAGGCAGGCACTGCAGGCAGCCCGGAGCTGGGAGAGGTGGGAGGGGTCTTCCCCTGGAGCCCTCCAAGGGAGCAGGGCCCCGGGCACACCCCAGGTTTGAACCTCTGGCCTCCAGAACTGAGAGAGGATACATTTCTGCTGTTTTAAGTCACCTCGTTGGCGGTCACACATTACAGCGGCTGCAGGAGAAGAAAAACTCCGAGATCACCAGCAAGTGGATGAGGAGAAGAGACCACAGGGCAGTTGAGCGCCTGCCCTGGGTCACGTGTGCAATGCGACCAGCATCCAGGCCCCTGCGACCCGTCCAGACTGCCCCCGCCCACCGACACCCACGCCATTCACAGCTAAGGAAGGCAGCGATGAGGAAGAGTCCACAGACGGGGCGGGGGCCGGGGCGCACCTTGGCCTGCTGCGGCCCTGGGCAGGCCCATGGCTCTCCCGGCGCTGCCGCTCACCAGTGTGGCCTTGGACAAGCTCCTCAGCCTCTCCGAGCCATAGTTTCCCCAGCTGAAAATGCAGTCAGACAGTCGTACACACTGCAAGGCTGCTGCCAGGATCAAACGAGGTGATCTGTGCAAACTCTTAGCACGGGACCCAGCCCGTAATGCACCTGAGATAAAGGTTGGCTGTTGATGTCACGGTCGTTATGTGTTTCTCAGACTGCCCCTCCACACTGATTTGTGCGGATGTCTTGAGTTGGCCTTTTGCAAGTTCTTCCGAACGGTGCCTCTGATGCCTTCTCTCCAGCTCAGTAGCAGCCCCCTTCCACGCAAAAAAGTGGGTGAGAACCTGGTTTTGACTTTCTGGTTCTTTTAACCTCAGTAATCTTGTCTTTTTTTTTTTTCCTCTGAACTGTTTACCTTCTCGGTTTGTTCTATCCAGTCTCTCCTTGCTGCCGTCACCTTCCCCTTTTCAGCCTCACTGGCAGTGAGCTTAATGGAATTTGGGGACACTGGATGGCTTACCCCGCAACCAACTCCTAAACTGGAGTTCCTGCTTTCAGTCGAAATTCTTCCCCGAAATTGTGTACTAAGTGATGCTCAAGCCAATGCACCATGATTCAAGTGCGAGTCTCCAAAATAATTTCTTGGTTGGTATTTTTTTTTTTTACATTCAAATGTTGAACTGTGAAAATTGTTTTTGCTGTCTGTTTTATCCACACCGGTGCAGGTGACCGAAAACCTTCCAACAGAAGCCCCAGCAGCTTTTCTGCAGCCATTACAAGGTAGGTAACCAGAGACCTTTAGCATCTTCGGTTGGGTTTATTATGTCAGCATGAAAGTTCTTTCTTTTTTTTTCTCATGGAAATTGCTGTAATTATAACCACTTTCCAGAACCACTATTATTATTAATAAGACCAAATTGCACAGGTCAAGCAGGCGCCGGTTCTCTCCTGGTAGAAGTCACACAATGGTACCCAACACCCAGCACTCATCACCATGCCAACAGGGTCCTGCTCTCGCCCGGGCTTCTGGGCACACGCCTGCAGCGCCTTGAAGAGTGTCAGGCAGAACGAGGGACCCTCCGTTCTTGATTAAAGCACTCCGGGAAGCAGCACACGTCCAACAGTTGGTTGTCCCGGGGTGGGGGTGGGGTCTGTGGAGCTCTGTTTCCTGCTGAGTCTTTGTCTGCATCCAACTATCCATGATGCCCCGAAGGAAGGGGGGGCAGCTGGGGTTGGGAATAGTCCAGTGTTGGACTCTCGCAACAGTCACGGGTGAGGTACCTACCACTGTGGGATGGAAGGTTCGGGGATCTCAGGCTGGAAAGGGCCGTTGGAGGCCGAAAAGCAAAGAAAAGCAGCCAGGAGGCGGGAAGGCAAGGGAGCAGGTGGTTCGGAATTTGGACTCTGGAACCCAGCTCCTGGGTTCCATTTCTGGTTCTGCTTTCTTGTCCCCTTGCCCCGGGCAAGTCGTTCCGCCTCTCCCAGTGCCAGTCCTCCAACCCTCTAAACGGGTCTGAGAACCAGGAGGTGGCGGTAAGGATCCGGGGGGCAGCAGCACACACACACGCCACGCAGCCCAGTCCCCGCCAGGAAGAGAGCCCTTCACCCCATCCGCGACGATACTTCATTCCCGAAAGACTCTTGGTGCTTCGCTGCTTGGATTTACAATTCCGTTTTTCTCTCCACCTAAGCAAGTTTTATTCTAGGCTTCAGGGGATCTGCAGAGAAATAAATGCATGACCCTTGGCCATGAGCGAGCAGGAAAACTCACTCCAGGTTCAGAAGTCGCCCCATGGCTGGCTGCCCATCTGACCCGCTGCAACCCCCTGCTGGTCGTCAGGCGTTTTCTGGGACACGGTGGGGAAAAATGAATTCTAATGCGCTGGTCACCATCACCTGAGAGTGTACAGCGGGCATTTGGAGAGATCACACACACAGAGTTTGCTACAAAGCAGCTTATTACTAAACCAGGCCAAGAAGGAGGCGCAGAATATTTCATTTCCTGTCAAAGTGTAAAAATTAAATCTGCATTGTTAAAAACAGCCTTCCCTGGAAACCTGCTAATGTTTAACTGAGACATAACCTTGAATGAACTACTTCCTTGGCCAAGGAAAAGATGCAAGCATTAAGTCCTGAATACATTCCTGTAATGTAAACTTCCTCATTTTAAAGTAAAGGTCGCTGGATTAAATAATAAAGACAAGCTATTATTTATGAGGTTTTTTTTGTTTGTTCTGGAGAGCTATATATATATATATTTCTTCTTGATGTTTTTTTCCCCTTCCCCTCTTCCCTGGAGTGGGGAGACAGGCACCAGGACCCATTTATTGCAGCCCCCGAGTCTACTTGACTTTAGTAGGGAGAGTTCTCTCCCCCTCAAAAACCACCAAGAGTTGCTCCTCAAGGCACACCATTTCCAAATGGAGAGTCATGGAGGGCCCGACCCACCAGGTCATCCTCAGGCCACAGGACAGGTCCGTCCTCCATATCTTGTGACAGGGGAACTGGACAAGGTTCGCCCTGACTGGCGTGGCTCTCAATGGGTTGGGCTTTGTCCCCACCAACTGAAAGGTCACGGGTTCCATTCCAGGCCAGGGCACATGCCTGGACTGTGAGCCAGGGGCCGGGCTGGGCTGTGGGAGAGACAACCAGTCCTTGGTGGGGTTGATGCGTCTCTCACACAACCATGTCTCTGTCCCTCCCTTCCCCTCTCTCTAAAAATAAACAAACACAATCTTTCCTTCAAGGAAACAGTGCCATTAAAAAGAAAACGTACAAGGTCCTCACTACCAGCACGTGTCTTCACGTGGTGGCTCTTAAACCAGCACCAGCATCTCGTGGGCGAGTTAAGCCTTCTCAGCTGACTCCCTCCAGCCCCCCGCCTCCAGGCACCACTCAGATGAAGGGCAACTGGAATCAAAGTTTTCAGCAGAGTACATGTTTGAAGGTTGAAAAAAAAAAACTCATTAAGCAAGTACAGGAGTTACTCAGTAGAGTTTCTTTTTTTAAAAGGAATTAGCATGGCATGCCTTGCCTCTTAAGTCTTGAATAATTTAATTAGAATTACACCAAAGTCATGAGTCTGTTCTATTTATGGGGGAATCGTAGCTGAATTAAAACACAAATGACAACGTTCGAAGTAAAAATAAAGTATCCTCAGACACAGCATTCCACCGACAAGAACAACTTGAGTTCAAATCACACTTCGATCAAGGAAGGTGGAGACCGGCTGAAACGATTCCTGGGGTTTTGTTTGTCTTCAGGTTACCGAGCCCGGGCACACTGATTTCTTACTACAAAAAAGTGCTAATAAATGGAACTCATCCTGAGAATGAGGAAAAAGGAAGCTGTTTGACTTCATTTGGTTATGGGGAGGCCACTTGGTCCCCCCGGAAGCCTAGCTCGGCCGGTCGGTTTTCCCAGCAGCTTTGCTGCATGTAACACTTTTCACACACGTGTGCAGACACTGCCCTCCGCGCAGAGGGGCTGGGCGGCCGGGCGAGCCAGGAGCCAGGAGGCGGCGGCGCGACCAGCCGCCTCCGGGGGAGGAAAGCCGCACGGAAGGAAGGCGGCTCGCGCCCCGCAGCAGCCCGCCCCTCGGACCGGCAGCTCCCTTTCCAAGCGGACTGCGCCGCTGGAGGCCGGCCACCGGCCTCCTCAGCCAGCACGCAGCGAGCCGGGGAGGGAGGGGGGACGGCGGGGAGGGGGTGTGCAAAGAGTAACACAAAGTGATTCCCCCGAAATAACAGCATCGTGCCCAAGGCCCACGGCACGGTCTCCACAATGGAAGGAGATGTAGCCCGCCAGAAGGAAACCCCCCGAGATGGAAGTTACGGGTCTCCCCTCGCTGCCCGGCCACGGGGAGTGGGGAGCGAACAAGTTCTGAAACACGTGCACACACCCTGGGCTGCACCCCCCACAGGGCCGCCGCCGCCGCCGCTCCGCGCCGTAGTGCGCACGCCCCGCTCCCGCCGGCGGCACCCCCTGCGCCCCTCCGCCCCACCCCCAGCCTGCTTTGGGGTCACGCTAAGCGGCGCGGAGGTTCCGCTGGGCGCTCCCACGAGCCCCCCAAAAGCTCGCGCCTGCAGCCGAGGGACCGCAGGAGCTGCGAGGCGCCGGTCCGTGTGCGCGGGCGAGCGCCCGCCGACTTACCTTCTGCGGGGGGGTCCCGATCAGCACCTCCAGGTAGTAGCCGCGGCCAGAGTCCCCCTGCAGGTTGTCAACCATGGCCAAGAAGTTGGCCGCACCCCCGGCAGGCTCCAGGGCGAACGCCAGGCCGTCGGCGCGGGGCTGAGCGGGGGGCCCGGGCCCGGGAGTGGGCGCAGCTCCGGGGCTAGTGGCCGTGGCCACTCGGAGGGGCAGCGTGAAGGGTGCCGTGGCCAGCGCCGGGGCGGCGTGCAGGAGCCACTGGGCCACCAGCGGCAGCAGCAGCAGCGCCCGGGCCAGCGCGCCCATGCCGGCGGCGGGGCCCGGGGATCGCGCCGGGCCGAGTCCGTCCTGTCCCGTCCGGCGACTCGGCGACTCAGCGACTCTGCGCAGGGCTGCGGGGATGGGCTGGGCGCGCACCGGGCCGGCGGCGGCGGCGGCGGCGGAGGAGAGGAGGGCCGAGGGAGGAGGCTCGGGGAAGAGGAGGAGGCGCCGGAGCCGCCTCAGCCCGCGCCGCCAAGTTGAGCAAGTTGGTCGCCGCTGCCCCCTCTGGCGGGCGGTGGCTGCCCCGCAGGGGCCGGGCCCCGCCCCCGCCGCCGCCCCGCCGCCAAGGTCACCGCGCGGCTCGCGGTCCTCGGGGTCCGCGCTGGCCAGCCCGGCCCACCCGTGCAGGTCTCGGGCCGCGCCCCTTCCCGGGGAAACTCGTGTCCCGAACTTCCTCGGAACGCGCCCAGGCGGCCACGGCCAACGGATGTGACGAGGCTCATCTGATTCCAGGGGGGAAAGTTTCGGGAACCCTTAAAGGGGAAGCGAGGGCCTGCCCTGAACCCCTGGCCCCGCGCGCCAGGGCGCCCCGCCGGCGTCCTCCGGCCCCGCCGGCGCGGGGGCGGCGGGGGGTGACTCGGGGGTCAGAGAGGAGAGTGGGGAGGGAACCGTAAAAGAGCCGTGAGCGTGGAGAGCCAGGGAGCCTGCGCCTCCCCTCGCCAAGCACGTTCCTGCCGCCCTGCAGCCCACCGGGGTCTGGCCGCTTCCTGGGGCATTTCCCGCGCGCCGATCCCCACCCCCGGGCCCCCTTCCTCCCCCTCCTTCTTCCTCATCCCCACTCCGGCCTCGGAGTGATTTTGAAATGGTCTGAGTGGAGGCGGGGGGAGGGTCAAGGTCTGGGGAAGACGGGCGAGGACGCGAGAGCTTTGGAGACTTCTCGGTGGAGATTCCGGGGACGGGGGGTGGGGTGGGGAATGGGGGGTGGGGGCTTGTCGGCTCTCGCTGCTGCCGGAGCCTCGGTTCTCCCGCGCCCACCGTTTCCCGCTGGGGGAGGGGGGTGGAGTCCATAGCTGGCTTTGACTCCGGCTTTCTCGGCCCCCACGCTCGTCAGTGATGCGGATACCACGCTGCTGGGAGCCCGCGGCTCACCGCTCCCAGGACGCCCTCAGCCCACCGAGCAAGTTGCTGTCAGCATGCAGTTTCGGGGCCGCGGGGTCCCGCTGCACCTTCCCCACTCCCCCGGCGGCTCCGGGGCGGCGGGTGTGATCTAATTAATACTTGCTCAGCCATGGACTCCAGGGCCGCCGCGATGCGTTCGGTAATTCAAGCAACGAGGGTTATTTTATTTTAGGTACTAAAGGCAGGAAGGACAATTACACAAGCTAGGCCCATCCATCGATTTCTACTGAAACAGGAGTAGAAAAAAACCTTTCCATCTCCTCCAGCTGAATTATGTCGGGCGTTTTTAAAAAAAACAAAAACAAAAAAACAAGTCCATCTTCACAGGGCAATTCCCTTCTCGCTGCGATTTCCAGTGACTTCTACTCAAGGTTTGATTTTTATTCCTGTCTTAATTTTAGAATCAGGTCTGGCTCTGCCAGGGGCCCTTGTGTCGGAGAGCTTGGGCTGCATCGATTTTCAGATGACTTTAACTGTAAATCACATTTTCCCCAAACTATATCCCAACTTTAACAAATCCCCAGCCGCACAAAGAAAGGTCTAGTTGGGCCCCCCGACAGAACCTCAATTGGTATCCCCCCATAAATCTGCATAGTTATTCCAGAGCTGCTGCATTCATACTTTCCCATTTCAAAATCAAGGTTGTGGAGGAAGTGTAGTTAAAAAAAAACTATTTATACTCAGCGTCCAGTCTCGAGGGGTCTGAAAAGCCATTCAGACGGCCCCCAGAAGGAGGTAACCTTATGAAAAGCACATGGAATGCATTAAGGACATTGATGTAGGGATAGGTGATGGGCAGACAAGTTCAACATCAGAGACATTTGCTCTCTCTAATAATTAAGAGCCACAAGGGAAATTTTAAAAAATCCAGTCTAATTAAGGTCTGTCCTTCATGAGACTCCTGGCTCTCCATCTAGCGTGTGCGTGAGCGTTCATTTGAAGAGGGCGAGCTCAGGGGCGCAGGTGAACCGGTGTCTTGAAGAGCTGGCCACGGAGGAGTGGGGGCAGTCTTATTAGATGGTGGAGCTGTCTCATCAGAAAGTAGTGCACGCCCAAGTGACAGCACCCGGTGACCGGCCCGTGGTGGGCTGTATTGTTATGAATGTCTGAGAATTCTTGATCCCTGCTCAGAACGATGGTGCTGGCTGGATTTGGGAAGCAATGATTTTCTTTCTAGGTGTTTTCATGGAAATCATACGTGCCAGTCCTCTGGTAGGGTAGCATCTGGTTTTCTCCCTATCCTTCCTGATGCGCTTCTCCAAGAAGGAAGCCACTTCCCATGTATTGGGCAGCCATGCAGAAGGAGGGAGGAGAGGGTGAACCCCTCACTCCCAGACAGCACCCCCACATCCTCTTCACACTGGCCCACTGTCAGTCACTGCACCCTAACCCTCCCCTCCTCTCTCCGGCTCCAGCTCCTTCTCCTTCTTCTGTCCCCTCCCCCTCCCCCTCCCCTTTCCCCAAGCCTCTGTTTCTAGCCACACACTTCTTGGGTCCACTGGGAAACAGCCCTGGTGTGAGAGGGGCCCTCCCCCCTCACAGAGAGGGAGCCTGGGCACTAAGCACATCCCTGAAGGTGAGAAAGGGTCCCCTCTCCAGCCCGTGGGGCTAACCAGGGATTCCTTCCAGGAATGTGTGTGCCTGGCCAGGGAGACCGCACTGTTGGTCTGACCACTGTGGCTGCTAGCTTTGACTTCCTGTGACACCCGCCCATCCCTAACTTTTGGTTCTCAGGGCCCCTTTATTCTCTTAAAAATTGAGGACCCCAATAGTTACCAAATTAGGAAATAAAACTGAGAAATTTCAACAATATGTAACAATTCATTTAATAATAATAATAATGATGATGATAATAATACAATTACACAGCAACACAAGTAACATTTTAATTAAAACTTTACTTTAAAAAACAATGAGCCCTGGCTGGTGTAGCTCAGTGGATTGAGCTCGGGCTGCGAACCAAAGGGTCGCCGGTTCAATTCCCAGTCAGGGCATATGCCCGGGTTGCAGGCCAGGTCCCTAGTGGGGGCATGTGAGAGGCAACCACACATGATGTTTCTCTTCCTCTCTTTCTCCTTCCCTTCCCCTCTTTCTAAAAATAATAAAAATAAAAATTAAAAAAAAAACAGTGAGAAGAATGACATTATTTTACATATTTAGCAAATCTCTATCTGGCTTTACTAGAAGGCAGCTGGGTTCTCCTGTCTCCTGCATTCCGTCTGGTAGGCAGCATCTGGAAAATTCTGTCCAACATGTATGACCATCTAGTTTTGAGCTAAAGGGCCCCCTGGAAAATCCCTGTTTTGTATTCTCTCTCCTTGGTGTCTACGTCTGTGTCTTGTGTGGTCAGTCACTGTCAACACAGGACCATTGCTGTCTCTGGTGCGGCATGAACAGCGCAGAGAAAAAGGCAGAACGGGGGCTGAGCCTTCCGTGTGCAGGTGAAGGGGCCCAAAGCTTCGCCATCACCCCTCCACACCCCTGGAAGGGGAAAAAAAAGCTGAGTCTTTCGGGAAATCGACTTTTAAGCTGGTTATTTTAAAAAAAAGACTCAGAAAGAACCTTTGACACCACCCCCCCTTGCCTGCCCAAGGGATTCAGATACAAAAACCTGTTTCAGGAAGGGCACCTCAGCTTTAGACAGAAAGACTCCAAGGACAGCCTGTGGCTGCCCCCACTCCCCAGGCCCCACAGTTCCTGGCTTGTCCAGCGAGAAGTTTCCTGCCCTCGTGTTCTGCTGTTCCTTAACTACCTGCAGCCCCCCATTTCCACGACTGAAATCTGAGACCCCGTTCCCCGCACCTTTTCTCCTTTGTCCAAAGTGGCACATATGCCCAGTGTCATGGCACTGTCTTTGGAACTTCCATGCCTATGTGAATTCCCCTTGTGCAGGCATTAAAATTTGATTTTTCTACTGTTAATGTGATTACTACACATTAGAACTTAGAAGGTAGTAGAAAAAGGTTTTTTTGTTGTTCTTAGCCAGACTAGACCAAGGACACCTTTCCTCGCTGTCTATCCCACACCTCCCAGACCTAGCAGGTGAAGGTCAGGGCCCCTGCAGCCCAGTGGAAGCTCATCAGCTCTCTCCTGCCTCCTGGCTCCTCCCCCTCCCTCCCTTTCTTTTGTAGCCTGTCTTGACCCTACTCCACCCCACAGAGCCCTCCCCTTAAAGCCACACTTACTGAAAGCGCTTCCTGTGCTCCTTACCACAGCCCCCTCCTCCTTCATTCATTCCTCTCCTGCCCACCGCCCCCCCCCCCAACTGACTGACTGTAGGCTTTGCTCCTTATTCTCACCCACGCCCTGGGCAGCACTCCAGGCCAGCTCTTTGTCACAATGTTACAGTCACTGTGTCAGTGTGTGCAGAGCGGGTGAGGGCAGGGAGTTGGTTGTTGCCTGCTCTTCTTCCCTAGAGGTTCCCGGCAGGCGGTTAGTTTGGGACGGCTCCAGAACCACTAGTTTTCAAAGCTCCCCAGGTGAACCTGGCATTGGAGCCTGGGAGAAATGAGGTGCCAGTGTCAGATGGAAGAGCAGAGTAGTAGCCTCGTGGGCCTGAACTGATTTGGGAATTTCAGTGGGTATTTCTGAGGCCTTTCCTACTGAGAAATCTCTTCCTTGGCTATGCTGACCAAACAGGCCTAGAATCCAGGAACATCTCTAGAGACCAAATCAAGGTTTCTAGACACTGCTCCCCTCTAAGCTGGGCTCCTGGAGGAGGCAAGCTCCAGGGCCAGGGCAGAAGGTCAACAAGACGACCCTGGGACCCCGCATCATGCCAGAAAGCAAGGATGAGCCGGCCAGCGCTGCTACAATGTAAACAGGCAAGCAGTAACTGCAGCGGCTCAAAAATGTCTAGATTTGTGGAAACCTATTCACTCCCAGCGTCCTTTTAAAAAGCGCGTTGATTATCTCTGAAGAATGTTGGAGCACCAACTCCTTGTTAAAAACTGGCAGAGGAAGGAATAGACTTAAGCACTTATGATTTTGACTTCCCTGGGCACACTCCACCTCGCTGTTACCAGATAATTGAGGAAGGGAGCCTTCTCTTCATAGAAACATGGCAGCCCATGAATGGAGAAGGGAGGATGGGGTTAGAATACGGCCGTTTTTGCCATCCTTAATAAGCTAGTGGATCTGGGCCTTTAACTTATTCCACTGAGCAGTGTGCTCCATGGAATACAGAATTCTAAAATAGCCCTATCCGTGGGCACCATTAGTATGCCCATTTTACAGGCGAGAAACTGAGGCACAGAGT